GATCCCTTTACATCTATGGCTGAGAAGGAGAACAAACCCATTTCTAGACAGAATAAGAATAGAAAATTGCTATCTTTAAGGAAGAGGTCAAAATTATCTGCCGAACTACCATCAAAACGTTTTCAGGAGATACCTCGTGACGATCTTAAAAGCCGACAGAAAGTTCTCCGCTGTAAAAAAAACACTGAGAAAAGTCAAACTTGGGCACCGTCGGAATTTAGTAATTGGTTACAGTATCACAATGAGTGTGATCATGGATGGAGCAGAGCGTTATTCTGAGCTGAGGAAGATTTGGTGTAGGGAGATCCAGAAAAATTGTAGTATAATGTGCAAATTTATTGTCGAATGTAGGCAAAAGAACGGCAGTTCATACAGTTGTAAAACCATCATGCAGCTTTCTAGAAATCCTTCTTCGTGCCGATACATAACTCTTGCTTATTATTCATTTTATTCACTTTCATATCATCTTGTTCATATACTATTCTCTAGCTTATTTAATCATTTTAAATGAGGTGGTTGTATATTAAAGAAGGAGCTGTATATCAACTATATACACCTGGCTTCCATTGCAGAATGAATGGGCTAAAATATACTCATAATATATATATATATATATAATACCTGCATGTATTGACTGAGATGCCATACTAACTTAAATCATTTCAAAGCTATAGAAAACAGATCATTCCTTTCTTGGACTGCTTCTTTAAAGTGGAAGGAGTCTCATTAAGCACTTACGTACACCTGTTATACTCGTCCAAATGGAGTGATACAGCAAAATGATGGTGGTAAGTCTCACATAGCATCATAGTATGGTCATGTTTTGTCATAGGAAAAAAGTGTTTCTGTTTGTGTGTTGTCGTGATGGAAAAGGGAAAGAAAATAAACAACCAAGGATAACTGATAAGAAGAGAGTTCGTTCTGGGTCAAGAAAACTTCAAAGCTCATGCATATCAAGAATGACTGTTACTAAATATACTAAGTCTAGTAATGTAGATCTTGTGTTTATTAAAACACATACAAATCATGAACCTGGGCTTGATGAAGTTAAGTACTTACCACTCCCTAATACCACCAGACAGCAAGTTAAGGAACAATACAATGACGGTGTTGATTTGGACAAAATAATAGATGGTTAGTATTACTGGTATTTGCTTTTAATTCTGAAACTACTACAGAAATTAGGGGACCTGTAGCCCATTGTCAACTAAGAACTAACTTTACAGAAAGTGCTAACAGGGTTACTTTCATCACTTGGCAAGATGTTAGGAATATTGTTAGAAAAATAGAAGATTCTCTAAAGTATTCCTTCAAGGAAGACAATCAGTAGCATGATCCACCTAAAACACAACTTTGGAAAGAAGAAGCTAATTAATCTTATTGCAGCAAGATACCGTATTGCTAGAAATTTCTGTGGCCCAAAATTTTTGCAAATTTGAACAAAATCGCAAAAATTAAATCCTCAAAAATAGATAAATTAAAAGGTGTGGCTTGCCACACCTTTTCTCAGTGTAATTATAGTGAAGCACATGGCGAGTTCTTTGCACTATTCCAGTACAATTTTAAGCAGATTTAAAGAGTAATCCTATCTTGCCTAATATCCTGATAGAGCTTTGTGTCATCATCAACTATAGTTCTGGTAAGTAGTGAAGAGCAGCCATTGATCAGTGGTGTGATCAAGTGAATTCGCAAAAATTAAATCCACAAAAGCCATTTTTTGGCAATTCGCAGAAATTTTGGGCCACAGAAATTTCTAGCTATATCGTATGACTTACATGTATGTTGCATTTATAAATCCACCGAGGCCTATATAGCGCTATTGTCTGCTCACTACCTTACTTCTCAATTTGATCTTATTGACTGTGTACTTGCAACCAGAGAATTCCCTGGTAGTCACACAGGTGTTGCTATAAGTGAGAAAATTTGTGACGTAATTGAGGAGTTTTAGCTAACAGAGAAAGTTTCAGCCATAGTACATGATCAGGCTGCAAACGTCCAAATATCATTACGTATTTTACACACAAAGAGTGGCTATGAAAGTATTGATTGTAACGCACAAAAGCTTCAACTTTGTTTAAAAGCTGGTCTTGCTATTAATTGATTACTAAGAGCTTGCAGTAAGTTGGTTGGGCACTTTCATCATAATGCATTAGCATCAGGTCAGCTAAAAAGGAGGCAACAGCAAATGAATTTACCTCAGAAGAAGCTCATCCAAAGCTGTGATACTAGATGGAATTCATCATTTTACATGCTGGAGATAGTTAATGAAATGAGGTGGCCTATATCAGCAGTATTGTCTGATGAGAAAGTGGCAAAAAGAGTTGATAAGGGATTTGATCTCACTAATGATCAATGGGAGTTGTCTCAGGAGCTGATCAAGGTGTTAAAGCCATTAGAACTAGCTACTACTTTTTTATGTGAGAAGAAGTCTTCCATAATATCTAGCATTCTTCCTGTGTTATTTAGGTTATTAGAAAATCAGCAGATACAAGATGGCCAAGACTTAACAGTCTCAGACAGTGGTGTTTTGACTAAGTTTAAGGAAACTCTAAGGAATAAAATCCAGAGAAGGTGGAGCCTAGATTGTCTTGACACATCATCTTGTATGGTTATAGTGTCATTTCTAGACCCACGCTTTAAGCCACTTACATTTCTAGATGAAGAACAGATTGGAAGTGTGAAGTTAGAGCTACTGAAAAGGAGAGGCTGAGGACAGGGAAGAGCATAATCCACTTCCTGTGGAGGATAATGAAGTCATTCATATGTCTGATGATGATCAGCAAGAGCTACCTACAACCAAGAAAATGAAGAGTGCAATGGATATTTTACTAGGGAAAGAAGACGTCACCACTATTGCTGCTAAGACTCCACTGGATGAAGTATTACAGTTTATGGAGGAAAAGCCCATTCCTAGGAAAGTGTCACCACTCATTTGGTGGAAAGAGAACTCTCCTAAGTATCAATAACTCTCTTTAATTGCTCGATGTCTTAGCAATTCGTGCTACCTCTGCCACATCTGAGAGAATTTTCTCTACAGCTGGGCTAACAGTGACAAAGCTCCGTAGCTGTCTAAAGCCTAGCAATGTTGATGGTCTGATTTTTCTTAATAAAAACTACAAGTTACTTTTCTAAGCATTATTGCAACTTTTGTCATAATTACTATGAGTAATAATTGTTATGAGTAATGTGTTTAACAAAATAAATAATCCTTGACCTTTGGAAACCTAAAAATAATGATTATTATTTTTTTTATTTATATTTTTTAAAATGGGCGGTGACAAAGAAAATAGGTGTGGTCACAAATATTCGAAGAATTCGAACATTTTAAAAAAGAATATTTGAAGTAAAGAGCAGAACCTTCGACCCAGCCCTGATACTTGTGGTAGCATGCTTACTGTTACAAAATACATGTACTAGTCAAACAATGAGAGTTGAAGAAATATTTTTGAGTCACATAGAGATGTTATCAGATGAAGAAGACTGCTGTGAGTATATGTATTTAGTGTATTGTGATAATCTATTGCTTTTTATTGCATCTGACAGCAATTCATTCAGGACAAGGCCAAGTGGATTGTTCAGGCAGTGAAGATCAAGTGGCTAACCATGGTACACTATAATATACAGTCACACTGTGATTTGTGTCTTTACTGAAAACATAATACAGCAATTGTCAGCCGTGTATTAGTAACATAGAATCCCATTTCTTAAAAAGTACTGCACATGGCACAGTACTACTGCCTGCCGGCTATAATTTTAAAAAACACCTTTCCTTTGTCATTATTGAGGGATGAAACAAGGCCAACAACCACATTATTACACATCGTGGCAAGGGTTCCATATATGACAATGTATTTGGCCTCGAAACTATAAATAATAATTAGCACTTTAAAGAGTTAATTTTTAAATTTAATAATTGATCTGATGACTCTAACTCCGGCCTAAAATTTGCTCGTTAGCAAAAGCACATGTAAATTTGTCTCTGCCTCCACTTGCGTTACTCCAATTTAAGGTGATAGTCTCTCACCAATTATTGTCTAAACGTATCAATACGCTATACAGCTGCAGAGACGAATCATTGTCACTCCTGATCGAAACTTCTACAGAAGACACTATTCGTGCTCTAGACCACTACAGTGCCCCCAACAGGGTACCTCAAACTTTATTGCACAGCGGGGAACCGCTATCTCCATCCCCCTCAGGTGGGTTAATTAAGCCCCTCTATAGTGGGTGAGTTTTTCCAGACTCCAGAGGCCTAGGAGGCTTAAGCCAGCCGTTACCTATAGGGTATTTTAGTCTATGCTATAGTGTTGGGTGATTATTAAAATTAAACTAACAATTATCATAATGAAATTAATCATGATTATCATCAAAATCAACAATACATAAGCATAATTATAATTACAAGTTTTGAGACAAAAAAATTAATTTGTTCACATTCTTTGGGAGTAATGGGCCACGGAGTGAGCTCACTATACGTCCACCGGTACTGAAGACTCGCTCAGATGGCACACTATAGTAGCAGGAAGACACAAGTATTTCTTAGCTAGTTGAGACAATGTAGGAAACCATCTGTATTCTGCTTTCCACCAAACTAAAGGACTGGTATCAATCTCAGCAGTTAGAAAGTCAAGGTATGAAGATATTTCATTTTCAATCTGTTGCTCATGTGTCATTGGTGTAGGTTGTGTGTTGCCTTCCTCTTTCTCCATATTCTTTAAGATAGCTGTAAGGCCTTTGGGCTTCTTCGGTGGAGGACCAGAGTCACCAGACACATCATTTACGTGTACTTCAGTACTAGATCTTGTCTCCTGCTCAGTTTAGTCAAAGTCATCATGCTCAAGACCATTATCCAATTCTAAAGTCAACATACCTTCTTCTGTTATTAATGATAATGTTACTTCTTTGTTTTCTAGATACATAATCTTGAACCATGGGTCAAGAAATGAGCAAATATCCAAAATTTCTGTGAGCCTTGGAGAACTGTGTCAAGAACTCAAATCTGCCATCATTGCTTGTTTCATGGTAGAAGCAATATGATTATCTTCACTGCAGGGACTCAATTTACTCTTAACATGTACTAGTATGCAACGTAATGATGATACAGTTACTTCTTTTTCACCAGTCAATTCATCTGTTAAATAGTAAACATTTTTGAGAAATTCTAATACCTTCTCTAGCACATTTAGTTCATCATCAGTAGGCATGGCATACCAGTACTTCCTGTCTTCTGCTATTACAGCACTAATGGCTTGCTGTTGCTCAATGGCACAATCAATCATCTCGTATACTGACCCCCACATTGTGCTGACATCATTTTTTAACTTGTCTTCAGGAAGATCAAGTAGCTGTTGCTTCTCCTTTAAGTCACACATCTTCTTCCAGCTACATGTACGATGAAAGACATTAACAATAGAGCGACATCAAGCTAGTGCACATTGTATCATTGGGCTACTTTTTGACTGGCAGGTCTAAATTATGCCCAAAGCAACTTATTCTTAATAAATCAAGTGTACAAAAGGCTGCAATGACATTTGCACCACTGTCAGTAGCTGCTGCAACAGCATTTTTGATGTCAAGTTCCCAGTTACTCAACATATCAGTGACACAGTCGGCAATATTATCACCAGTGTGATCAGCAAACAAGGCAACAGTGTCAAGACACTTCAATTCCAGACTCCATTTGCCATCAATATAGTGGACAGTAAGAGTAATATATGGTTCACATGAACCACTTGTCCACAAATCTGTCGTTATAGCATAGTATTTCACTTGCTTAAGCAGCTCGATTATATCGTTTCTTACCTGTAGGTAGAGAGCTGGAATCTCTTAATATGAAAACACCTTTCTAGAAGGAATTTCATATCTTGGGTCGAGTTTCGGTATCACGTGTTGAAATTCTTGCTTCTCTACCATATATAATGACACAGCATCTTTGGCTAGAGAGTAAGTTACGGCACAAGTAAGCTCTTGGCTTGTGGACTACCTCGAGGGTACTTAGTTGCCCTTACTATTGAGCTCTCAAGCGTTAGTTGTGTCTTTGTGCGCTCACGAGTTTCACTGTGGCATTCAGTTGAAATAGTGGCAAATAGATAAGCATGATGATCACACAGATGTTGAACGAGTTTAGATGTGTTACCATCTTTTGCTCCAACAACTGCCCCACAATTTCTACAAACTGGATGATGCTGGCTTGCCTCTATCACTTGCCCGTTCTCGTCAACTCTTAGTCCAAAGTAGATCCAGGCTTTGCTCTTTCTTCTCTTCTTTTTAGCAAGAGTCATACCACCGACCGTCTCAATTTCATTCACAGAAGAGCGAGCAGAAGAGCTTGATGAACAGCTAGAGGAAGACGCCATTTCTCACCACCAGCTAAGTTAACTGTCAGTCTGTCACGTGGTAGTATTAATTAATTACAATAATAATTATTAATATCAACTAGGTGAATGTAGAACATTAAAGGGCGAGCCTAAGCTAGCAAAGCAATTATATGGCACTGGATCTATCCATTTATAACCTACTCCCGATGATTTCAAAGCATGCATCATGATTTAGGCATAGCAAGCATGATTTACATGATGAAAGTTTAATGCTGCTGATAAAATCACTTTATATCATTTATTTTATTTAACTTTTAGTCTTCTAGTTTCACATACACATTTCTTGTCTATAAATGTCTGTAAAGATGCTTTACTTAGCTTTAGATATAATATTATCCAATGTTAAGACTGATGACTGAGTCTGAAAAAGCTTGATTGACTTTCACAGTTTTAATAGCAATTGCATCAATAAAGACGAGCTACATAGATTATTAATTGAATTTAAAACCTTCTATAGCTGCTGGAGAAGTCTTTGGACGGTGTATCTGCCTTATATTGCTGCTAAAAAGCTCATGAATTCTTCCAGTGTGTTGGTTGCCATTTTTATTTTTCTATTTTCTGTGACCGCTCCCACTTTCAATGAAAAATTGAAAATTGACTTTATATTGCATTGGTAATGCATAGTATCTATCTACCGTATTAGATCTATACATAAATAGGGGTAATGTACGAGGACATACAGACAGACTGAGAGTATAGCTAGAATGGGGCGAGCTCAGGCTCGCCCCAATAATTGACAGTTAACAATGCAAAAATAATAATCATTTTTTGAAAAAGTAGTGCGGTGTGATTAAACATAACAAAATTATAATTATGATTATATTGTAAAATCAAATAATTGCCCAATAATACTGTGCTAAATGATAGCTATACTTACATCCAGCCATAGGCATGGGTATAAGTTTATAGCCTATGATGGCTATACCTACATCCAGATTTAGGCTTGGGTATGTAGTGTATTTAGCTAGGCTATGATGCCAGTTCTTACTGGTTTGCCATGACTGTCCAGGCAAAACATACATGACTAGCTATAGACTGGAGTCAATAACACATTATCATTATTATTTTCATGATAATCATTAATTACAGTATCATAATGATTTGTTTCTCTCTGGCTCATTGATCAAATTTTTGGCCGAAGTTAGAGTCACGTGATCAATTATTAAATTTAAAAATTAACTCTTTAAAGTGTTAATTAATATTCATAGACTCGAGGCCAAATACATTGTCATATATTTCACACCCTGCCACTTGTGGAATTCCAATCCCACATCACATCCTTCTGATGTTCGAGGGATTATTAATTTACACTTTGCTGTTAAAGCGTAAGTCTGGTGTATTTTTCGTGAATTTTTTTATGTCCATAATAATGATGTATTCCAACTCACATTGTATTAAAAAAATTTTTCACTGAGATATGAGCCTTC